ATATATATATATATATATATATATATATATATATATATATATATATATATATATATATTTATATATATATATATATTTATATTTATATATATATATTTATATATAGTTTTGCATGGTAGTCACAAAGTTTTTCCCATAAACTGTTGTTTTAAAGAGCGCGTTAATAAGCCTGACCAGAAAATGTTAAAAAACTTCATAAATTTTTTTTTTTTTTAATGATAGACTACCTGCCCAAACCAAACCCTCAGTCAATGTAGCATCACTCCCTTGCGAGTCAGGCTATTTGTCAGTCGATGTAGCGGCACTCCCTTGCAAGTCAGGTTATTTGCCAGTTGATGTAGCAGCATTCCCTTGCAAGTCAGGCTATTTGTCAGTTGATGTAACAGCACTCCGTTGCGAGTCAGGCTATAAGATAGTTGATGAAGCAACACTCCCTTGTAGCAGCAGGCTATAAGAAAGTCGATGTAGCAACACTTACGGATGTTTTAAAAATGTTTTTTAATAAAACAAAAAAAAAAACACCACTAATTAAAAAAAACTTTCTAGTCATTATTATTGCGGTTTTTTTAAAAAACAATAAAATTTAATGTACTTCTGCATTAATTTAATTGCTTTGACATTTCGACGATAATAAAATGCAGCTTAAGAATTTATACATATAATTTATATATATATGTATATACACACACACACACATATATATATATATATATATATATATATATATATATATATATATATGTATATATATATATATATATATATATACATAGATACTTTTGTATACATGAGTTTCATCTTTATAGTTTATATGTTATATATTATTACAATATTTATTTTAAATTGTCATTAACATTTTCAATGTTTCTTATACATTGTTTCTTTTTAGGTGAAACAGTTGTCATTAATTGGCGGTAAAAATATAGCTGATACAATTAAAAATATTTTGCTCTTGTAAGTAATAAGCAAAAGTTTGAATTTTAGCATTTATGATTGACAGTACAGCATTTATCTTCTTTTTTATATATGTAGACTGCCAACAGACACTATTTTGTCAGAATACAGCATGAATTGTTTAAAGAAGAAAAAAAAGTTTAAAGAGTTGACAATTCTATGTAACCCTTTTATCGTGCATTAGATGGAGGCGGTGAGGCTAGGGCTATTGCTCTCGACATATCTAAAGCTTTCGACAAAGTTTGGCATGCTGGTCTTCTCCATAAGCTTGCTTCATATGGTGTTTCTGGGAAAGTTTTTGAGATTATCAAATCATTTCTTTCTAACCGGTTTATTAAAGTCATCCTTGAAGGCCAACACTCTTCTTTATTTCCAGTAACTTCTGGGGTTCCCCAAGGTTCCATCCTGGGCCCTGTTTTGTTTCTTATCTACATAAACGATCTTCCTGACAACCTTTCATCTAAAGTAGCTCTTTTTGCTGATGACTCAACTTTATACTCCTGTCTTGACAAAAAGTCTTCTCTTTTCGATCGCCTAGAACAAGCAGCTGATCTTGAATCTGATCTCACTTCAGTAATAGATTGGGGTTTACAGTGGCTTGTGAATTTTAACTCTAAAAAAACCCAATTGCTTACTGCAAACAACTACCGTAATATGGTCAACATTCCTATATTAATGAATGGCAATCCTCTTACTGAGTCGCCCTCTTTACGTCTTCTTGGATTATCGCTTACTACTGACCTTTCATGGAAACCATATATACAATCGATTGCTAAATTAGCTTCTGCTAAGGTTGCTTCTCTTTATCGTGCTCGCCATTTCCTTACTTCTGATTCCATTCTCCACCTCTACAAATCTCTTATTCGTCCCTGTATGGAATACTGTTGTCATATTTGGGCTGGTTCTTCTAACGATTCACTTTCTCTTCTTGACAAGGTCCAAAAACGCATTGTAAATGTTGTTGGACCTGGACTATCTGCTAAGCTTGAACCTCTTTCCCATCGTCGTAAAGTTGCATCTCTTTCTCTTTTCTACAGATACTATCATGGTCACTGCTCAAAGGAGTTATCATCTCTAGTTCCATCAACTAAAATTCATTCTCGTTTTACTCGTCATTCAGCTAAGTCTCATTCGTTTACTGTATCTGTCCCTGCATGCTCTAAGAACTTTTATTCATCTAGTTTTTTTCCCCGCACTTCAATCCTTTGGAACTCTCTCCCATCTTCATGTTTTCCTGACTCATACAACCTTCAACTTTTCAAGTCTTCTGTCAACCGTTTCCTTGCTCTATAACTCTGTTCTTTTTTTTTTCCTAGTAACTCCCAACTTAATAGTGGTTGCTTGCAGCCTTGTTGGGAGTGAATGCAAATAAAAAAAAAAAAAAAAAAAAAAACCCTGTCACTGGTATTCTTATTAGCTTATTAATGTGTTTTATTAATTAAAAATTAAAAATGATGTTTTAATTTAAAAAAAAATTAATTTCTTTGGCTATGGAACATGACATGTATTCAAATGTATGAATACATGACATGTATATTTTATTTTATGATCTTATTGAAACATGTTTTGTTGTTTTTTTTAGAAGCTGCTTTTAAGTCAAATAAAAACTTAACCAAAATGAATGCCATCCAACTTATTGGGAGAGTAAGTAGGCATTCTTCTGACCGAATAAAGAGAACATCCACTAATATGGATTTCGATCAATGATGGCTTAATTAACTGTTGTATTTATTTATTTTTTTTTCCATTTTTATTAGCAATTTTCTTCTGTTTATAATGCACTATCGATTATATTCCGCAGTACCTATTAGTTGTTAATTTGGAAAATGTAACTTTGTTTGAAAAATTATTCTTTTTTTTGTAAAGTTATTAATTTATTTTAAATATATCAATTTACACTTTATTTACATTGATTTCTTTTTATAACTTCTCTTGCCTAGATTAAGGCAAATCTAAGGTGTGTGTTGTAAATCATTGCATGTTTATATAACTTTTAAAAGAATGTCTTGGTAAAATTCAAGTCGAAAAAGTCGTCCTTAAGTCTTTCATATGAGACCAGCCAGAGACGTCTCTAGAACGTCTGCATAAAACGTCTCTAGGACGTCTTAAAAAGACGTTTTTAGGACGTCTGGAATAGTCGTCCTCAAGCCTTTCATTTGAGACTAACTAAGGATGTCGTACGGACGAGACTTAAGGCGACTTACGGACGTCCTTAGGACGTCAAAATGCCCGCTGGGAGGTTGCTAGATTTTTTTTAATAAAGATTAAAAAAAAAGTTCTCTCGTATATCAACAGTACAATCAAAGTGTGAGTTGAATCTCTGAAATTCTATTTTGATAATGAAAGACATAGCTTTTCGCTATTTTATATATTTCAATATAAAGCAAATATCTAAAGAACAAATCATGTAATAGAAGTCAAAGGTACATCTATTAAAGTACAGCTATTAAAGTACAACTAATAAAAATATAAATCATATAATAGAAGTCAAACGTACAGCTATTAAAACTACAAATCATAATAGAAATCAAAAGTACAGCCTTGAAGTAAAGAGATCAAAAGAGCAAATCATACAATAGAAGTTAAAAATACAACGCAAGTTATATATCTGATATCTGTATATTAAAATAACTTGTCAGTATTTTTTATATTGTAGTATCTAACATATCAAAGGAACAAACTTTGCAATAAAAGTCAAAAGTACAGCGCGAGTTTTATCAATTGCATCTTTTCAATATGACTTGTCGCTGTTTTATATATAGCGATATCTAACCGATCAACAATAAAAGTCATGCTATAGAATTCGAGATTACAACACGAGTTATATCCCTGTCATCTATTTTTTATCCCTAATCATAAATTCTATTTCGGGAAAAAAAATCGATTTTGGAAGTCAAAAGTACACAAACTATAACTACGGCAACCGTTTATAATTTAAAATCGAGGCGTACTTCTATTATATAAAGCAATTTTTTTTTTTTCCCTTAAGCGTTTATTTTTGTTACAACCTGGGATTTGGCCAAAGAGTTTTCAAAGTTTGGCCGAATACCGAATAGTAACAAAAATAGCCGAGTAGGCCAAGTACCGAAAAGTCTCCTTAAATTCGTGGCATCTCTAGTTTAAAGAGTTTAATTTTAGCGGATTTTGGTGACAAGACTTGCGGGTCTTCCGTGTTCTTTATCACTTTTATTTCGAAACTTTCTTTTTTGTTATATATATATATATATATATATATATATATATATATATATATATATATATATATATATATATATATATATATATATATATATATATATATATATATATATATATATATATATATATATATATATATATATATATATTCTTCTATTTAGATTAAGTTAAACTTAAAAATTCTAAACGACCTATATAAAGTTGTAATATGAAAAAGAAAAAAAGTTCTGTTCTGTATAAATGTTTTCTGTTCTGTAAAAATATGTTTTGCTTTGTACAAATCACAACTCTAGCTGGTTTAAACACAACGCTAGCTGGTTTAAACAAAACTGGTTTAGTACAAAAGTAGTTTAATTAACAGCAGTTCATTAAATAGATTTAAACACTATTAAAAGGCTCCATAATAACTGCAGCCGTATCGCTAAAAACCTACCTAAACTCCACTACTATAAAAGCCACTTTGGTCAGTCTTTTATTTAGTTTGTTTGTCTAACTTGATTGCCTTAGTTACGATCAAGATTAGAAAATAAAATTTGTTATTAAATGAATCAAAAAATTCAGAAAGTTAAACAAAAGTTAATTCCAGAGTTTCGTTTAAAATTGGTGCAAAGAACAGGGGTAAATTTCAGACTGTAGAGTGATACTAAATTATAAAAGATACCAAAATGCTGATAACAAGGAATGAATCCGCTTTTATATAAAAAGTTTTGATATTGCTTTTTTTCTTTTCATTTGACTAATAAAGTTGATCTAAATCCATTATCTTATGGTTTTTTCTATTCAAAGCGAACTCTATGGAAACTAATCTAGTATATAATAAATGTTAATAGTGTAATCCATTGAAAAGTTAATAAATGTTTTATGTTACAAAATTTTAAGCGATGTTTGACTAACGGTTTGTTAAATATTTATTTCAGTTCTTAATAGTATTAAAGTTAAAAGAAATGTTTAAAGGAAAATGTGAAACAGGTGATGAGGAAGATTATGATATAATAGAGAGTCCAGATACAACAAAAAAACGTATAAAACATTCTGTAGATGTAATTTACAAAGAGGAAACACATCTAAGCGATTCCGAGTCAATGAAAGAAACAAAAAACAAAGAAATAGTGTTACTAGAAGAAACTAAAAACAACCAAACAACAAAAAAACAAAGTCCAGATGAAATCGCAAACCTGACATTAACAAATGAAAATACCGTTATCCTTCAAAATATAAACCTTAACGTAAGTAAATTGCAAGAAAATGATGTTAAAAAAACAGATAGTTTAAAAGTTAAAGAAACTGAAACAGACAGACTAATAGGTAAAGAACCTGAAATAGACAATCTAATTGAAAAAAACAATGACATCTATTTTAAAAACCGAAAAATAATTCTTTTAAACTCTATGCTGCTGGGAGTTTCCTATTCAATTATATGGCCCACACTTTGGCCGTATATAGGAGAATTCGGAAAAAATAAGTTGAACAGATTTATGTACTGTGTGACGTTTATTGCTTACCCGTGCTCATCAGCATTTTCCGCTTTTATAGTAAATAACTTGAATAAGTTTGAAGAGAAACGAATACTTTTGTTTTTAAACTTTTTAGAAGTAGTGGGAAATCTTGTTTACATATTAAACTATTATTCTTTCTTACCTTTGGTAGGTCGATTTGTGGCTGGACTTGGTGATTCTTGGTACTACGTGATTTTACTGGAGCAAACAAAGTCAAGTAGCTCTTTGATTTCTAACCGAAAGATGGCAACGGAATGTTTGGCTTCATTTGTAATTGGAATTATACTTTCACCTGGTATCAATATTTTAGCTTCTTATTTAAAGTTTGATGTTTTAAAGTTTCGCATAAATGGAGAAAATAGCTCTGGGCTTATAATGGCGTCTTTATTTTTTATCATGCTTTTGAATAATGCCTTCTTTTTGAAAGGTTATACAAGTAAAATTAAAAGTAAAAAAAGTTCTTTATTTCCACAAAATAATGAATGTGCTACAGAAAACAATTTATTTGTCAAAATTGTTGTGACAGGAATATACTTTTTGTATTACTATATTGTTACTTTCCTCGAGTTAATGATACCTATATTGATTTACGAAAGTATGAAACTAAGTGTAATAGGCTCTATCCACGTTTACGCAATTATTAGTGTACTATACGGTTTGATTCTAATAGTAATAGTGCAAGTATCTCATGTCAAGTATCTTCAAATATTTTTAACTCTGTCTTCGATAATTGAAGCTGTCAGTATTATAGGAGTTTATATATTGCATCAGAATTCTCACATTGCATCAAACATTGAACACACTATACTTTTTTTTTCTCCAGTTTGCTTTTCATTATCTTTACTGTGGGCAAACTCCGATGGATTATTCATTAGTCTTCTTCAAACGTATGTTTCTGAAGATGTCCGTGATTGCACACACTCCACCGGAAAAAGTGTATCAAAATTAGCAATTGTCTGGGCAGTCATAACTGTTGTATTTTACTCACGAAAAACATCTACAGTCATTACGATGACAATAATGACCTTAATTTTAATTGCATATGTTGCGCAGCTATTTATTTATTACCGTAAAAAAAAACTTAACCCTATAAATAAAAGAGATTAAAAAAATAATAATCATATAAAGTTGGAAAAACGTATATTTGGTATGATGAGTCAGTTTAGTGATTCCAACATGACATCAAACTTAATTATCTCACCTAATTATTTTTTTAATTTTTCAAAAAATTTAAAAAATGACACAAATCTCACAATTTTACTAATGATAATAAAGTGGTAAAAACTAATGCGTTAATATAACAGTAAACAAATTTTGTATTTAAGTATGTTAAACTAACAGAAATGTTTTTATATGTTTTTTAGTCACAAGTTGGCTTTAAAAATACCAAAATACACTACAGCATGCATTTTTTATCAATAAATTTCAACTTTCCTATTCCTTTCTAATTCACACGTTATTATTTTTTATGTTTTCCCCATTTATAATTATTTTACAATGTTCTTGTTTTACTTTTTCTTATATATATATAAGAATATATCATATATATTATATATATTATATATATTTTATATATAAAATATATAGAGAGTAAAAGAACAACAGGAGCAAGTAGAAGACAGAACTCTTGTCATCAAGTCTCTGTACTTCCCCAAACCATCATATATCTTTCTTCATGTTTTACAGCACCCTACAAACAGCTCAGTTTAGCTTCTTCTTTTTACTACTGTTTCTGGACTCTATCTGATAAGACAAGAATGTATTTCGACTTTTCTGACCATTAAATTTTTTCCAATTTGGTATCGACATTCTTTTATACTTCTTCGTAAACTCTTATATTCAATTTATTTGTTTTGTATGACTTCACCTAGAGACCATATCTGATCTCTTGGATTCGTGTAGTTGTTCATGACTTCATAGGTGTTCGTTTTAGGTGTGGTCTTGGGTTGTCAAGACGGTACATTCTTTATTTTTATGTGTTTTATGAATTTAATTTCTTTTATATTGTGAATATAAACATTTAACGTACAATAAAAATTGACTTTTTTTATAAATAAGAATCTAGGTTATGACATCATTTATAAGTTCATCAAAAGCTCCTTGGCCATCTCAGCTAGACTGAAGTCTTTGACCTTCTCCTGAATCCTTCTCATTTTGGGCACCTTAGGATCGGAGCTGCAAAGCAACCTTGCCTTAAGATAATAGTTTGTCTGGGGTCTGGAGAGCTTTTTTGCGTAGTACTCCCTGTTATGCTTAAACACCATGCTAGAGGGCTCCTGTGACTGCTCTGACAAGGATCCAACTGGAACGGCCTTTATACTAACAACCTCATAACTTGTGTACAGCTTGGAACATATTATACCAGGTGTACAGGCTGGTGTACAGTCGTGCAGTCTCCAGCAGAGATGTAGTCAAGACAGTAAAGGCCAAGACCAAGACATTTAGGTTCATTTAGCAGAGATGTAGTCAAGACCAAGACTAAGACCAAGACATTTAGGTTCAAGACCAAGACTGAATGCTTCAAGACAAAGACCAAGACCAAGACATCAAAAAATCAACCCAAGACCAAGACCAAGACTTCAAAGGTTTTTACAAGACCGGGATCAAGACTTAGGTTTAAAGAAGTTCAATAAAACCCATGCTTTTACGTGTAGGGGGTAAACAGGGTCTATTTGTTGACCAGCGTTGCACCCATTTTTTATTTATTAGGCTGGCGTAGATGTATTTATAATATATTTTAATGTATAAATACATTGCTTCCAGTTTAGAATGTTAAATACTGGATCTACTTTACTCTTTGCTTGCGTTTTGATTGTGTCAAAGAAAACTTTCAGTAATAATAATAACAATTACAAACTAACTTTTTTTGTAATGTTAAAAACAAAAAGTACCAATAAAATATGTCTAAAAACAAATAGCATACACGTTAGACCATTATCCTTATACTATAATTACAAAAAATAAAGTGAGTTGATTATTTCAGAAACAACATAACTAAAAAAAAAACCGGGTTGAATATGGCTAAAGATGAATCGAAATATTAGCCGCAATCCCGACACAATTACATTGATTTTGCTTAAGACAATGATATATTATATTGTATATACTATATGTGTAGTTGTGGCTGATATTTCAGATTCATCTTTAGCCATATTAACCCCGGTTGTTTTTTTTTTACTTAAGTTTTTTCTGAAATGACCTCTTCAAGTAACGTTTATATACTTTATTTAAGTATTTTATGTAAGAAGTTAAACAGACAAGTTTATACTACTTGTATTTGTATAACACATTTTACCTTTTACTACTTTTTTTTATTTTATTTATTTTAGACATTATAGTAACGTAATACGCAGTAGTAAAAAAATACGCAGAGTATGTGGCACAAAAACATAATAACTTCAATTGCAAACAAATAAGTATTGACACATTATTCATTAAACAGAATAGTTCGTACTGGTTGCAATATCCTGACCAAATTAAAATTACAGACTCCTTAGTTGCAAACCTTATTGTTGGATGCTTACTTCCATTATCTCATGTCGAAAATTCAAATTTTAAGAAATTTATCTGCAATATGAATAACAAGTACGTACTACCATCACAAAGCCATCTAACATCTCAATTATCTTAAAAATTTATCTAATAATTGGTCAGCTTTAAGTGAATAAAAGTTACGTGAATGAAAGGAGTTTTCCTCAAATTTTTTATTCACGTAAAGTTAAGCAACTTACTCAGTAATTATTCAGCTTTACGTGAATAAACAATTCATCAAGATTGCTAAAGTTTTTATTCACGTAATGGGGACCAATTACTTAGTAAAAGCAATTGCTCATTTTTATTAACCCGGCCTATTGAGTCGATATTTTTCATAAGAATAAAGAAATTAAAAGACAGTAGAGGTCCGACACCAAGACCAAGACCAATACTCAAGACTTCAAGACCAAGACATAGACCAAGACTTTAGGCTTCAAGGCCAATACCAAGACCAAGACATTGAAATATGAGTCTCGAGGCGTCTCGAGACCAAGACTTTGGTCTCGAGATCTACATCTCTGTTCTTCAGTGTACACTGATAAAGCTTTTAAGTGTCCATGTTATCATTTTTAGAGAGGATACAAAGGGTAATGTAAAATCTCTTCACTAGCTCATCATCTAAAATCACTGTTGACGTTTTATAAAATTTAAAAAACCTAATTGCAGTATTTCCATTATTGTAGTTTCCAGATCCTCCTGACTTTGGATTTTCAACATTAATATTAAGGCTAGACCTTAACGCTACTTGCAAATTTTTTTTTTATAATTATTTTTAGGCTTAAATAGTACTTTATCTCCTCCTTCTTATCATCTACTTTATCAAATCCAGCCTGTAGGCTATGAGAATGAACCATGCTCTTTATTCAAAAATGAAAGGTAGACAGACTATGTTTAAATCTAATATCTGGAAGATCTGCCGCAAAAATTTTAAAATTAAACATTAAAAAAAAAAAAAAATTTAAATATCTATTTTTCTTAATGCACCTAAACGCTTATGTCCGCAACAAAACTGTAATTTTAAGAGGATTTTTTAATTTATATTTAATTTGCTAATTATTTTTTTAATAATCAAAATTTTTATAATAACTATTTTTATAATAATTGTATATTTTTACTTTTATCAATATTTGTTTATTGCATATTTTATATATATTTTTATGGTAATTATTTTATAAATAGTTATAATAATTATTTTTATAATAAATATATTAGTTCTATAATATTTATTTATTGTTTTTATTCTTTCTTTAAATAAACATTCGTAAAAACTAGAATTTTAGATTAAACATTTTTTCCCAATCTATTTTAGTTTTGCATCTAGTTTCCAGAAATATAATTTTGGTTTGATTCAATCTATGTGTTTAGTGTCAAGAACTGTTGGTTTTTTTGTGTTAAAAAAAAATTGAAATGTTTCTTTTTAATCCAATATGTTTATAAAATCGAGCAATAATAAAATTTCTAAAAACCATAATCAAGGCTTATTTAACTTTGCAATGTTTTTTTCTATACACTCTTACAAAAATCGGTTTTTCAAAAAACCAAATTTGGTTTGATAGCTTGTCCCTATAAACGAACCAAATTTGAATATCTAGGAAACCAATTTATTTTGGTTTTTCAGAAAACCAAAATAATTCGGGTTTCTAGAAAACCAATTTGAATATCCAGATAATCAAACTAAGTTGGTTTTCTAGAAAATCGACGCTATTTGGTTTTCTGGATAATCAAAATTAGTTCGTTTATTGGGACAAGCCGTAAAACCAACAATTGGTTTTACAGCAATAACGATTAAAATGAAGTTATATGTCATAAAATGTTAAAACAAAACGTTATGTGTCATAAAATGCTTAAAACAAAACATTTATGATTATTTTACTAAACTTCATGAGTTATGTTTCGAAAAATAGAAATAATCGGTCAGAGATTACAATTTATTACAAAAACTAAAGCTTATTAATTTATTACCATATTTATATATGCTTTTGATATCTATTTATTTAAATTATATAAACAAATAATGTTATATATAAATAGTATTATTTATATATAACATTATTATAATCCGTCTATATAGACGGATTTATGTACTATGGAAAATAATATTATACTACTATATTACTTAAAAAATAAAAAATTCTCTATAAAAACAACTAAAAAGGGGAGATTTTTAAAAAATAAACTTGATTTAAAAAAAGGTTTTAAAACAAATTAATAACATCAGCATGTTATTAAGTTTTATAATTTAATATTATAAGTTCAAAAAATTAGCAATTTTTTGAATGTTGCCTGGAAGTTTACTGCTTCGTTCGAAAACATAATGTTCGAGAAAAAACAGGGTTTTTTGTAGTTTCTTTGTATACGCAATATCAAAAATATAATATGAACAGATGACAAGACCCAAACCACAAGTTAGATCAGAAACAGAATTGCTGATTGTCACCCCGTCAACTACAAGATTTATTTATGTTGGATTTATAGCATCTCCTTCAATTTTCAGAGCAGGGGTTGGATAGATTGGATCCTAATAAAAAAAGCATATAATTAATCAATATTAAAAATTACATTAGATAACTTTATTAATATATTTAATAATATAAATAAATTTATAAATAATATATGTGCAAATAATTAGAATAAAAATATATTAATAAAAATATTAAAATAAATATTGCATTGAAACAAGAAAATAATTGATAACTGGTGAAAAAAAAGATGGCCAAAGTTCATTGCTTAAAATGGGCAATACATTACAAAATAAAGTTATTTCGTTCCATGAAAAAATTGTCTTTTATTTTTAAAATATATGTATGTATATATATAT